GACCCGCTCTATCCAGAGGTTACATCTGCCTTTAACTGGCCTTTTTGCATTGCATCATGCAGGAGAGGTGTGGGCTGTGTGTTTGAGGAAGCTGCTTTTAGCTGAATGGGATAAAAGGGAACCCGAAATGTTCTGCGTTTAGTACCGGAAGTAGACAGGGAGAGAAAGAGGAAATGCTTGTCTCTGTTAAGAAGAATCCTACAAATTTAAATCCCCCTTTAAGTTAATGTTTAGTACTAATCATGTTTTTATACAGAAGAGTGTAAATTGCACAGTGCTGGCTGTTTCCAAAGCTCTCTTTAAAGGTCTTGTGGTTAAATAAATAGAACCAATATTTTCTTAATGGTTATGGAGTACTATGATAGTACTCTGCATCCATAGGCACATCTTTGTATCAGATACTCTCAAACCACTCAGATAGTATTACTATAGCTTTATGCATATGCAGGAAAACCTGTTATCTGGTCCTCCGTTAGAGATAGTGAGATGGCTTTGCATGGCCCCCTTCTGTATACACTTTGAAGCCAGGAGGACCTACTAGATCATCTAGGTTGGTCTTCTACACACCCCATGCTATTGAACTTCACTAGGTAAGTCCCTGTGAAGCTCACCACGTTCAGCTAGGCAGAAACATTTTGGTCTTCTGCGCAGCAGGCAGAGGCTAAAGCACCACCGCTGGTCCTGACATTGGGAACAGCAGTGGTGAGCTTGCCTGCAAACACTAAACAAAAACACTTTTGGAAAATGGCTGCTGTGCACCTTGTTTTCTTTTGAGGTGCTTTAATTATGCGACTGTCCTCATGACAGAACATCTTGGTCTCTAACAAGAAAAAAACAGTATGTTTCATTTGGTTGGAAAAGTCAGGTGTTAATTTTTTGTTTTGTGATTATCCAGGAAAATCCCAACTTCAGAATTTGATTTTTAAGACATAAAAATAAAATTTAAGAGCTTACAAGGCAAGTTCTTCTCTCTGTTCCCAGTAATCGCCTTTCATGATGCAGGCAAAGCAAGCTATTGCACCATCCTTCTGCTTAAAGACCACTGCCACAGGTATGGCAGAACCTTTTTTGGGGGGTGCTGTGAGGTTTTTTTTAATTAAACATTGCAGGCTTATCAGTGGTATGGCAGGGATCTGCAAGGGGAGATGCTCCATAGTTCGAAGTGTTCTCTGGGTAGGTCTAGGACAGCAGAGACAACCCTTTTTGCCTCAAAATGAGCTGATTCTGGTTTACTCTGATAATGCAATGAGAAAGATGGCGATGTTTTCTTGGGAAGGCAGCAATGCGATGTTTTCAGGTACTTCAGGATGCAAGTCCCAGGATGTAATAAACACCCAAGTTGACAGACAGCAACCAGCCACTGAGAGGCGTGAAAGGGTTGCTTCATTCAGGAGGCTTTTAGTTTTGGTTTTAAATGACTCATTCATGTGAGTTTTGGAGATTATTGTGCTATCTGCAGTGACACCCTGTGGCAATGAAGCAGTAGTTTCTTCTCTGACCCTATTATCTAAAAAAACCAGAGAAGTTCTGCTGTGACTGTCCTGCCACCTGCAGTCATTAGCAAGAGGAAATAGAAAGCTGAAAGGCAGTTTTTCCTCATAATGAGTAGCATTCCTTATAGGATATGAGGAGACAAGGTTTTTTCTGTTACTGTTGTAATTTAGCCATTATTATTCATATTGTTAATATTTCTAAAAGTTATTTCATATGCATACTGCCTGGCTTTAGCAGAAAATAAAGGTGAGATATAGTTAAAAATATAAATTGCATATGGATGTAATTGAGTTTAAAATGTAAGGAGAAACCATCTATACTTCCAAGAGGAATGCATTATGTATAAAGAAGTGCGTAGTAACTTGTTAACTACAGTATCATCATAGAATCAAAATAATTGGGGTTGGAAGGGACCTAAGGTCATCAAGTCCAACCCCCTGCAATGAGCAGGGACATCTTCCAACTGGATCAGGTTCCTCAGAGTCCCGTCCAACCTGACCTGGGATGTTGCCAGGGATGGGGCACCCCTCTGGGCAACCTGTGCCAGTGTTTCACCACCCTCATGGTGAAAAACTTCTTCCTTAGATCTAGTCTGAATCTTCCCTCTTTTAGTTTAAAACCATTACCCCTTGTCCTATGGCAACAGGCCCTGCTAAAAAGTCTGTCCCCATCTTTCTTCCTAGGCCCCCTTTAAGTACTGGAAGGCTCCAATAAGGTCTCCCCAGAGCCTTCTCTTCTCCAGGCTGAACAACCCCAACTCTCTCAGCCTGTCCTCACAGGAGAGGTGTTCCATCCCTCTGATCATTTTTGCAGCCCTCCTCTGGACCCGCTCCAAGAGGCTCTGTCTCCACCCACAAGTCGCACTGACTGGAACACCAGCCCTCAGCTAGAAATACCCAGAAGCCTTCCTGGCACTGTAAAGGAATTTACTGACTTAGTAAAATGCAGGTCTTGTCCTGACTGACAGGAATACTACCTCTTTCCACAAGTTTTTCTTTCCCTAAGCCCTACCTCTATGTCTTCCTAAATCACTGGTTACTCATTGTAGCTTAGCTTTGATTTTGATTTGCTCTATTTTAAAGACTATTGGAAAAGTTGTAGAATCATTTTTCCTTCAAAGGACCAAGAATGATAAAGATCAGAATCTATTAAATCTAAGGGAAAAGCAAACTGTGTGGCAGGCCTTTTTCCACAGCAAAATACCTAAGAATTCAAGGAAAAGTCCTATTCCCAATTACTTTGAAGCATATTAGCAGAAGTCCCATCAGTCATTTACAACGTAAGACTGTGCAGCTGCTTGTTGTAATTCACAACCTACATGAAGAAACCTACATATAGGTTTCTGTAAATGTTATTTTTAAGTATGTTTAACAGGGACCTGTTTAATTTTTCAACAGAAGTATGGGTAATAAATCTGCCTAGAACTGAAGTTTCCATCAGTTAAAATACAGACTATCCCTCCCTCACAAAACATTTCTACAACAGAGAGACAAAATTCCTCCTATTCAGCAGGCAGTCAGAGAAGTCATCTACAATGTTTAAAATCACCTCCTCTGCATGGCTTTTGAACCAGCATTTCCCATGTCTCAATCACTACTCTTACTACCTGGCTATATGGTATGCAATGCTTTAAAGCAGGGTTGTGTTTTTTTCAAGGTGGTAAGGCAGATGGGGAAGAAAAGGGAGAGTAGCATTTTGAGAAAAAGGGACTTAAATTCATTTGCAAAAGCTATCAGATCCTAAACAAATAATACACATAGAAAAGCATGATATAATTTAGGAAACAGTATTTAATTTAAGTTAAAAAAAATCCCAATGCCTCTGGAAGTGAACAACAATTTGCTAACATTGTTTATGCTACATAATTTAGAGTTTTAAGTCTTGTTTTGCAAGCACCCTACAGTCATTTACCACTGTGTCTTCCTCTGATCTTAAAAAGACTGCCACAAGCTGAAACATCAACAAAAATGTTTACAATTTTGTAAAAACCAGTTCCACAAAATTCAGTCAAGAAATATAAATTTATGATTTGTTAACATATTTTAGCTAAAAGTCTTATAATTAACTCAAATTGATATTAGAGTTAAGAAGTGAAATTTCTCCAGTACCACAAATCTAGGTTTCCACACAGATTAACTGTGGTACACACACAGTACAAAGCAAACACACTCTTATTTATGGCCAGAAAGAGGAAAGCAGCCTGTTCAGAATGCAGACCTCCTTTTGCACTGATTCTTATAGGCCAAAATATGCCCCAACAGCTCCCCTCCTTTAGGGAGCTGCAGAATAAGAAATTTTGGAAGACTGGTCCCTTCGTCACTCAGCTTCAAGGTCACAACACAAAATTTATTTTGAAACAGCTACCAAGTTGATACAATTGCTTTACCTAATAGTCCATACAAAAAGTTATAAAATGATCAGGAAAAAATTGACTGTATTCTAAATATGTTTCCTAATTGTTTGTAAAAAAATGAAGTGGCTGTTTTCCACAGCTTGTGCCCTAAGTTGCAAAAGCAGGTTAGGTTAGTTTATAATCTAAACTTTAAGAACTTGAATTAAGAAATGTATGATGACACCACTATCCTACTACCATCATTAACAAACATATCACATTCTGAATTTTCTTCCTATTAGCAAAGATATGAAACCAAACTATTTACAAGAACTATTTCTTTTCTCTGCCTCTTCAGCAAAGTGAAATGTAGCACCAAATAGATCTGGTAAGTGATCTGATCTTTCTTCAGTCTCCTCTTCCTAATTTTTCAAGATACTCAGAGCACTACTTTCAAATTTGCCTGTGCTTCAGCTACTCAAGTTTGCATTTCTAACATAGCCATACTATGATTTACTTCTAATAATGGACATATCTGAGACAGTTCATTATGCCACACACAGTAGTGAACAGTAATTCAGATTTAAAAGTGGTATTCCAGATTAACATTGCATATAACTTACAGATAAAAACATGAACTGAAAAATTACGAGGTGAATTTCTTTTAGCAAGGGAAGTAAAATTCTTTGGTGAGCATAGAGACAATGCATGGAATTTGTTTCTTTGCATTAAAATCCTGCCGAGTTGAGCAGGACTCGTACTCTGCCACTCTGCGATTTACACGAGTTAAAATCTGCATCAGTTCAAGTTTCCTTGCATGTTCCTTTAGCATTTTACACAGTGACTGAATAAACCAGGAGCCTTCAGCTGAATTCCTCCAGGAGTAATAGCCTGTGGGAGAGATGTCAAATTGATCAGATGTAGCAGCCTCTGATACAGGACAGGATAGCAATTAGGGGAACAATGCATTGTTTTCAACAGCAATCGTTTTAAAATAAAAACTCAAAACCATTAACCAACAAAATTTAGATTTGATAATCTCCCCAAATTCCAACTCAAAAGACTTCTTCTAATCTTCCCATATTTTCTAATCTAAGAAAACTTTGAGTAGGTAGAAAATCAAAAGGCAGGAAAACTATCATCTGCTGCAAGTCTTAGCCATTAATCACTTACTACTTTATAGAGTACGCATATACGAAGGAGAGGTGACAGTCCAGATGGAGCCAAGATGCAAAATGGATTTCAGTGTCACGATCTTCAGGACTACGTGCATGAATTCAAGACTGGAACTGACTTCTGCTAACTGATAACGTAACGGGCATACTAAGTGCTCTGCCACTACTAATTTTGCCTAAAGATGCAATGAAAATAGAGCTGATAGGCAAGTAATATGCTAGTGTTTATCAACCACTTCTGCATATGCATCTAAAGATATCTGATTATTTTGTTCTCTCAGAACCAGTAATACCTTTTACTTGCTGCTGCAAATTATTTGCACAACTCTTAACTGAATGTATAGCAGATGAACATTTGAGGGTTCACTAGTGAGAAAGATGTATATTCAGGGTTTGGGGTATTTTTGTAGGAACTGACAATAGCAACGACCTCAAAAAGAAATCAAATCAGGAGAGAAAAAACGATCGAGGGAAGAAAATCCGTATTTCCATGAAAGAAAACAAATGAAATAGTCACCCACTGACTGGACACAACTGCAAGCTGTCATTTACAATATCAATACAAGCTGATACATAGATTTTGTTCAGGAACAAAAATTTCTTTGCAAGTCTCTCACCTGGAGCTGTGGAATATGCATAAAGGAAGTCTGCTTCTACAGGTATTTTCTGACACATTGTTTCTTCTGATCCACTGTCCGCCTCAATACCGGAATCTAATTCTGTCCCTCTACAAGCCTACTTGGTGGAAAAAAGAATGATAAATAAAATGAAAAATAAAGAAATAAAGGCAGCAATCATGACCAGAATACTGATTTTCTTCTATTTTAAAGACAACAGTATCCTGATTAAAAACTGCAAAACCAACAAGAATATATATGTCACATTTCTATTAGACTCAGAAGAAAAGTAACTAGCATTTATTTAAATCAACTACACAGTTTAAGATACGATATTAATTCAAAAGTGCATTCAGAAACTAAAATATTGGCTAGTGTTCAGAAAGATTTTAGTTAATCCATAGAATTAAGCAATCTCAGCTATTACAAATAATGCCAACCTAATAGGGCAGACTGTGCCACTTTCAGACCTGAAGAGAATCTTATTCTGAAAGTAATTTCCATTTAAATCAATTTTAGAAATAAAAACCTTTTTTTGCACTAATAATTAATGGGAAACCATTTTTAAGCATCCAGCTGATTTGATGATCATTGTTCAGCCGTCCATCACCTGAATGAAAAAGAGCTTGGGTTTTCCTGCTAAACTTCTGCACCTGTCACCTCTGAAAAGGCTTGTTAGTGCTTTCAGTTCCAGAGGGCCATCAGTACCATAGATGAATCCTTCATCACCATGGCTTAGCAACACGCAGACAAAACTGCTTTGCTTGCTGTGATCTTCTTCAGACACTTGAAAGAAAAAAAAAGAGAATGATCCTAACTTCTTGCATTCCCTAAAAGCTTTGCACATTTGATGCTTCTTATGTCACTGAGGTCTTAAAGAACCAATGCCCATGTTTAGAAACCTCCAACCAGTTTTCATTTCTGAAGGAGACAGCCTACTTTACTTCAGGTTGGACAGAGAAAACCCTAAATTAAAGGCCAACCCTACCCATTCAAAGGCATCGCCACAGAACTAGGCCAGGAACACCGAAGGGACAAAGCACGTGTTCCCAGTGTCTCAAAGTCTGAATGGTACACCTGGCTTATGCAGTAATGGTCAACAGAATTGTGACCTGGGATCGGACTGATGGGAAGTTCTGAGTTTTGGGAAAGGATGCAGAAGTCTTAACCTCTCTTTCCTATCAGAGATGCTACAACTACTTGGTTTACATGGGAACTGCATGTAGCATGAAAGTTGTTGAGGCTGGAGGGACCTAGGTACTAACACTACCCCTCTCTCTCTCACTCTTGCCCTGTAGCAAGGTCTAGAAAGATATTTCAAGCCTCTGAATTTTGTACTTGAAGACATTTAAGTACATTTAAGACTTGATATCAAGTGCTCATATAGTATTTTTTTCTTCCATCTTGTGGTAGGCAAAGAGCATAGAATATATATTCTCTTTGATGTCTTTTGTTGCCTGACATTGTGAGGATTGTACTTGAGGACCAAGATGATTCTTTTAAATGCATGACAAGATACAACCATGATTTGAAATAAAGGATCCAAAAGGAATTCTGAGTGGGAAACTCAAGAAGATGCAAGAGTTTGTAGATGAAAAGTGTAACCATCCCAAAAGCTGAAGTCTCCTGTTTAGAGCTTGCCAACTGCTGCATTTCTATTCTGGAAAAACTGAACTATTAGATTTTTCCTCAAGCGATGCACACTCAGGCATTTCTACAATCTGGAGAATAGACAAGCATTGCATCTAGAAGAGTCAGGAAAGGCTGTTTTTTGGGGAATCTCTAGTTAGGCTGCAGTCTGTAGTTTACATGGTCTATCTGAAGGCCACAGATAAAACAGAGGCCTTTCCACTTTCAGCTACGGTCAACAGACAGGCTGCAACTATACTAATAAATTAATGATGCCTGGGAGCATTCTCTGGCATAAACATTAACTGGCACTAAGAACCTACATCTATGGTAGCAAACACATTTAAAAAACAAAACCAAAACCAGGATTGCTGCAGGCTAACTGGCTGTTGGGAATAATCCCTGGAACACTTTTACTGTTGAAGTTGATCTGGAACAATCTGGGAGAGTGCCTGTAGGTATGAGCCACAGTCATGAACCTTCCAACAGTTAACTAGAATAGACTGTGTTCCAGGGCTACAGATACCTCCAGGCACCATTCAATTTACCAGTCTAGATGTAGCCAAGTCCCAACAAAGCAGGACTAACACAAACAGTAGTATAAAGCTCTCACTCACTTGACAGAGGGGTGTTGTGTTTCACAAGTCAAACAAAACACATGTTGCTTCTCTACAAGACTAATTCAATCCACACACTTGCAGTTCTGGTCCCTTGATGAGAACCCCCTCTGGATCAGAACACCTCTTGGGCCACACCGCTAAGTATATAGCACAGGACCCCTCTACCCCAATTAAGCAGGTTTCTTTCCAACTCACAGAGCTTCAGTGATCCCAGGGTCAGAATATAAATCAGTCTGCATTTAAGTTTCAGCCTTTTTTCCATCCTTCTTTAGAAGATGAGAAAGGATATGGAGACAATAGTCATGGCACAAAAGATGGAGACAGCAAAGATGAATAAACACAGAAACTATGATGTACATGTCATCCTTAGCAATAAACCATGGGTGGGTGTGAAATATCATCTAAAAGAACCATGGAAGAAGAGATGTGAGGGCTAGAGGTGTATTTGGAAACAGTGGCTAATTTAATACATACACTGAACATATTATTACTTACCATTTTTCAATAGTTTAAAAATGTCCCCACATGAAAGATCATGGCTGATCTTTATTTTATACCCCAACTTCATAAAAACTTCTCTGACACTTGCAGCATCGGCATCTGTACCTGAACGGGGTAACATCCCTATACATAAAAAGAAATGTATTAATTTTTGTATGATATAGATGACATGGTCTGATTGAGCCAAATTATTTTCTCACTTATATCTGTATCAGTGTGGAATATTATTCCATTATTCCAGATCCACTCTAACAGAAAAAAACATTGCACATGTAAACCATCTCCCTCTCTCCATATCTACAATGTAGATTTATCTACTCCTTATTTTATGTCTACCTATCTATATAAAGACATAAAAAAGGATTTGATTTGCAAAACAGAAGTCATGACTGAACGGCAAGACAGACTTTTACTGCCTATCAATTTTTCTCCCCATTACTGCTATACCCTAACATGGTCCTTCTATGCATATTTGGAAGAACGCACTGAAATGAACCACAGCCATTCAAACCACTTAATTTTTAGATTGCAATCAAAACTCATCTGCATATTTAATTTTGAATAGTACCTGACAGTAATTTAAGTAAATTAAGGAAAAAAATAAATTTGAAAGTGGTACCAGTCTGTCTGTGGAAGTTCTTATTGTTTATTATTACACATTCCCCCATTTCTGGATAATCCATTTTGTAACTGTAGTCCGGTAGAATTCCAGAGTCCATAGACTTGCTAGCAGGTAGGTTCTTCCTGTATAGAAATCAGACAAACTTTAGGTTTTAATTCTGATCTCTCTTCTCTAGTTTCAAAATAATAATAAAATAAGGTTTCCTTGGTTTTGCTAAAATAACTGGTAATAACTTGCTACTTGCTCCCTACAGGTTCCCTCAGCAAGTTTGCTGATGACACCAAGATGAGTGGTGTGGTTGATACACTAGAGAGAAGGGAGGCCATCCAGAGGGAACTGGACAGGCTAGAGAGGTGGGCCTGTGCAAACCTCATGAAGTTCAACAAGGCCAAGGGCAAGGCCCTGTACATGGCTCAGGGAAATCCCAAACATGGATGCAGGCTGGGCAATGAATAGATTGAGAGCAGCCCAGCCAAGAAGAACTTGGAGGTGGATGAAAAACTGAATATGAGTTGGCAATGTGCGCTTGCAGCCCAGAAGGCCAACCGTATCCTGGGCTGCATCAAAGGAGTGCGGCCAGCAGGTTGAGGGACGCGATTCTGCCCCTCTATTCTGCTCTAGGGAGACCCCACCTGGAGTCCTGCGTCCAGCTCTGACAAACTTTAGGTTTTAATTCTGATCTCTCTTCTCTAGTTTCAAAATAATAATAAAATAAGGTTTCCTTGGTTTTGCTAAAATAACTGGTAATAACTTGCTACTTGCTCCCTACAGGTTCCCTCAGCAAGTTTGCTGATGACACCAAGATGAGTGGTGTGGTTGATACACTAGAGAGAAGGGAGGCCATCCAGAGGGAACTGGACAGGCTAGAGAGGTGGGCCTGTGCAAACCTCATGAAGTTCAACAAGGCCAAGGGCAAGGCCCTGTACATGGCTCAGGGAAATCCCAAACATGGATGCAGGCTGGGCAATGAATAGATTGAGAGCAGCCCAGCCAAGAAGAACTTGGAGGTGGATGAAAAACTGAATATGAGTTGGCAATGTGCGCTTGCAGCCCAGAAGGCCAACCGTATCCTGGGCTGCATCAAAGGAGTGCGGCCAGCAGGTTGAGGGACGCGATTCTGCCCCTCTATTCTGCTCTAGGGAGACCCCACCTGGAGTCCTGCGTCCAGCTCTGGAGCCCTCAGCACAGGAAAGACATGGACTGATAGGAGTGGGTCCAGAGGAGGGCCCAAAAGTGATCAGAGGGATGGAACACCTCTGCTATGAAGAAAGGCTGAGACAGTTGGGGTTATTCAGCCTGGAGAAGAGAAGGCTCCGGGGAGATCTTATTGCAGCCTTCCAGTACTTAAAGGGGGCCTACAGACAGGATGAGGAGGGACTCTTTATCAAGGAGTGTAGTGATAGGACAAGGGGTAATGGTATTAAACTGAGAGTAGATTTATACTAGATATTAGGAAGAATCCTTTACTGTGAGGGTGGTAAGACACTGCAACAGGTTGCCCAGAGAAGTTGTGGATACCCCCTCCACGGAAGTGCTCAAGGCCAGGTTGGATGGGGTTTTGAACAACCTGGTCTAGTGGAAGGTGTCCTTGCCCATGGCAGGGGGATGGGAACTAGATGATCTTAAGGTCCCTTCCAACCCAAACCATTCTATGATTCTAAGTTATGTCTGTGAAATCAGTTGGTAGATCTGATTTAAGACTAGTGAAGGCTATACTTGCCCAGAGTTTAAAATAAAACCAAGCACTTTGTATAGTTATGCTCTCAAATAAAACCTTTGTTTCAAGTTCAGTAAAATGTGCACATACAAAAATAATTAAAAAACAAGTTAACAGTCATTTGTATTTGTAGTAATCTTCTGTGCAATTTGTAACAAGCTTAAAATTTAAAGACTCAAGGAAGAACTGTGTCTAAAATGATAATGCCTCTGCACAGCAGAATATGATAATTAGTTTAAGGAAACCAATTACTACATCAACAAGAAATCAATTGGATTTTTTACTATCATCTTTTGAAATCTATGTACTTGGAGGCAAGATCAGCTCCGAGATTGTAAATCGATTCTGAATTCTATCGAAAAGTCGCATTACCATTGAATTTTCACAAGTAAACCTTCAAAACCTAGAAAGGCCAAGACTCTATACGCAGCTCTAATTCTGCCTTAATGAGCACACCGACTACACCACCACTCATGACTGTGCAACGGCTATCAATTTCACTCAATCCATATATGCTGAAGGTGGTATGGATTTTCTCATTTAAGCATATGGGTAAGTGGTGACAAGACTGGGGCCCACTATCTTATTGTATTCCACAAATAAAAAGTTTGTAGTGCTCTTAAATCTAATTTCCATTGAAATACTAAAAAAAAAATTACTTCAGAAACAAATTAAGTTCCAGAGAGACAGTGCTACAGCAGCATAACCACTAGCTGTCACCAGGAAGAACGGGCCTGCGTTTCCTCCCTTCCACCCCTGTAAGTTCCCTTTGCACTTGTGCTTCTGCACATAAAACCTCACAGCAGGTCAGTTCAAGCAGGTGACCTCTAAAACCAGTTCAAGGAAAAGGGTGAACATTTAGCCCACGGTGAGACAAAGAAGTCTCTTTTCAAGAACAGCTAACCACTTGACAGTACTGTTAAGCCAAATCTAACTGCATCTCAGCTGTCTTGCTTTTTAGTTCCTTGTACACACACACGGCCTATTTCATCAGAGATTTTCAAAGTCAGTACAACAGCTCTAGTAGTTGTTTATGATTACTACAGTTTACCATAATTGAAACTCTTCCTTTTAGCATTATTTCTTCTATAGCTCTCACTGTCTGTTACAGCACAAGATTCCTCAATAATTAAAACTGCAGATTTAAACCTCACTTACCCTTTGGAACCAGGAATAGATTTTGCATCTGTCAGATCTCCCCTCGAATGTGGTCCATCTTCAATGTCTGCCATTATGGCTCTCAATTAGCAGCTTGAAAACATAAGAAAATAGAAATACATGACAGTTAATTTTCATATGAAATACTATCTTCAGATTGGCTAATTTTTGTCATGTTTCCTTAAAGTCTTACACAGTCAGACAGCATTTTTTTAGAATTATAGAGAAAACAAGAATGTTAAAAGGGGTTATTCACATAGAATAACTTTAGCCTAGGAATATTAGTATTGCTAGGCAAAAAATAGCATTTCTGTGTAATCCCTACATATCTTGTATTTGAAAGAAGAACATGAAATATTTTTCTAAATTATGGCATTTTAAAACAACTCTGGGAAAAATGGGAAAAACAGTCTGCAGATCCCTGTGACCAAATTATTGAAAGTGCCTACAAAAAGCAGGATAAGAAAAAAATAAATGGAAAAGAATCTTTAAAACACTGTAATGCCCCTACATGCATTAGTAGCATTCTAGTATTATGAATATTGGGTCACATATGGATCCTTCCATCTCAGTAAGACAGAAATTGAGATCCAAAACCAAGCAAGTTATCAGATGTATGCAAAGACTAAACACAGAAGATTAGGCTTTGTGTCATAGTATTTTGAGAAATAAATAAGTTCTCTGCCTTCAATTTCAAATGAAACATCACTGCATCCAATCCTAACTGGTCTATGTGAACACAATTGCAATATAAATAACAAACACACAACAATGTAACTTTAAATAGTTAATGAAATGAACTCTATGCTGTGGGCTGCCATTCACTTTTGATTAGAACACAGGACAAGAAATGATGATGGATACCAAGCCAGAAATCAATTTAAAAGCAATAAACCTCCCTCCCCAAATACTCTGTGTGTACTCACGGAACACATTACCACAAGTTACCTTTAACTCAGGATTCATATGATTAAGCGTCATAAAGTTAAATTGCCAGATAGGACAAAGTGATAAATGCTTAGAAGTGAAGTAAGTGCTTAGACCTCAAGAAACAAACAAGGCACTACAAGGCAAGTACTTTAGAGAGACTTACTTAGCAGATATAGGTATGGTAAATAGGGATGTATAAATAACCAGACCAAGTAGTAAGATTTGTTAGTCAGATATGATGAAGATTTTTATTTAAGGCTTAGGTCCTTTGGTGGCAAACTACATTTGCCATCTTACACCATGGTATTATTAAGTGTCTTAACTTCGTATCTATACTCCAGCCGGTACACCATGAAAATCCAGCTTCTGTGACAACAATTACTGATGCATCAGAAGCACTAATCTGCGTATATTCTTTATACACACACACACACACATATATATAAACTCTCTTTCTTTCCTTGACTTTTAACAGACATTTACTTACATTTTCAGTAACTTCAAAAGACCTTCAAGGTTACTGTGAATACTATTTCTTTGTATCTTGGAGCACTGATGTAATTAATAAACCTGCTTGCTCACAAAATTATTCCAGACTCAAGAACTGTATCATGTAAGTTAGCAGCACACAGGAAATTTCCTGAAAACCAAATTACAACAGCATAAAATAAGCTTGGTATTTTAGAAACAAAAGTATCTAAAATACATTATTGCTTTCTATTTTAGAAATTCACTTTAAAGACATGGGGCAGGAACTACATCTACAATGCTGAACTTGCCTGCCTAGCACCATGATCTGGATTCATCCATCCTAACTTCAAAATCTAATTCCTTAAAAGTTCCCTATGTAAAAAAAGACAAGCACTTCCAAAGGGTAATTCAAGTACCTAAGACCTGCAGCACAACAGTGATCCAACCATATGCCTTATTATTGGGCAGGGAGCATTTGCACTGACAACAGTGTCTAGTCTAGAGTGACAATTGGTGTGTCCACTCAGCTGTAACTGAGAAGCAGAGCTGCTGATCCCTGGGAAGCGGAAAGAATGGCTTTCATTGACAAGAACACTAGATGTTCCCCTACTCCAGCAGGGCCCAGCTTCCAGGAATTTCTATGCCTCTTTCAACCCTGTCCCCACCACAATCATCCTTGGTTTTGGCTTCCAGCTTTCCTGAGCTCTCAGCCCGACACTCCTGAACAAAACTTCATTTTGCAGGAAAACATCCAACCAGACTGACCCACAATTCTAATACAACTCATGCTGTTCTTTCTTTGGGAAAAGCACTATGTGCAGAAGCACAACCCAAACACTTCACTGTGGCTGGGACTAACAGGAGAGACAGGGAAAAGGTTAACTTTATTCCTTGTTTGTTCTTTGTCTGCTAACAGTACTGAAGAATCACATCACGTAACAAAAGCATAGTATCACGTACCAACTCTATTTATCGAAACCAGCCAGCAGGCGTGCTGAAAGCAGTGTAGGCATGTCAGTATGGAATTCAATCTCAGCTAAAAGCCCCGGTGTTTAGCCCAGCTGTCTGGCACTGTGAAGATCAGCAGTGCCAGCACTGGAAGTACATGAGCCAGCTAGTGTAAACTAGTAAAAATGTGCCTACAGAAGCTGTGGTCACCTCCTGTCTACCGTATGAGCCAGCCTGGGCTACCAACAACTACTTAGAGAAAGTAGGTAACAACTCTCTAGCCAATAGATGAGACCTTCAGATCATTAGAGAGGGTAAGTGGATAATTAGGGAGCCTTGGGTTCATATCAGGTGTGTTCCAACTAAACTGTGGCATCCCATTAGGGACTGGTTTGAGTAAGCTGGTGGGAATAACGCTGGTGAACAGCAGCAGACTTAAGTAGGCAAATTGGAGACCTAACAGACTGGGACCACTGAATGCTTCTGTAACACAAATGTTAAAGCATACTGCAAGCAATAAGAAAGATCTTCAACATTCAAGTCACTTTTAATTAAGGCTTATCTCCTTGACCCATTTGCAACCTTAAAACTCTAAAACTGCTGTCCTTGATCCAATGCCAAAGAAACAATGAATCTGAAGAAGTAGCTGAAAAGCTGGACATGAGCCGGCAATGTGCACTCACAGCCCAGGATGCCACCCCGTATCCTGGGCTGAATCAAAGGAAGCATGGCCAGCAGGTTGAGGGAGGTGATTCTGACCCTCTGCTGTACTCTGGTGAAACCCCACCTGGAGTCCTGCATCCAGCTCTGGAGCCCTCAGCACAGGAAAGACATGGACCTGTTGGAGCGCATCCAGAGTAGGGCCATAAAAATGATCAGAGGGATAGAACACCTCTCCTATGAGGACAGGCTGAAAGAGTTGGCATTGTTCAGCCTGGAGAAGGATCCGGGGAGACCTTACTGCAGCCTTCCAGTACTTGCGGCTGCTAAGAAAGATGGGGACAGACTTTTTAACAGGGCTTGTTGCCATAGGACAAGGGGTAATGGTTTTAAACTAAAAGAGGATAGATTTTGACTAGATAGAAGGAAGAAATTTTTCACCATGAGGGTGGTGAAACACTGGCACAGGTTGCCCCGAGAGGTGGTAGATGTCCCATCCCTGGAAACATTCCAGGTCAGGCTGGACGGGGCTCTGAGCAACCTGCTCTAGTTGAAGATGTCCCTACTCATTGCATGGGGGTTGGACTAGATGACCTGTGGAGGTCCCTTCCAACCCAAACTATTCTATGATTCTAACTTACAGCTAGCAAAACCCACAATCACAATGAACTACAGTACTTTGTTTCTGAAAATTGTAAACTACATTCTGTAATACTGTATCACAAAAATATTTCTTACTAAAGCCTTTGCAAGCCTAGCTCACAGCCTACAATTTCAATTGTTTATGAAGCCTTAAGAGCTTACTGCATGCTACTGCATCACGACTGGAGCTTGTCTTAAGAGTCTTTAACAGAAGCTAGAGATAGTGAAGAAAAACTGGGTATAATATGTTAGGTATTTAAAATACGCATGGCTTATCTTCAGAATAGAATCTGTAACTCACCTCTAATATCCATCAATTTCTGAGCACAATAACACATCAAGTCACCTGCACTTCTTTAAAGAACAAAAAGACATCCACAGAGAGAGATCTGTTTTGTTGCTAGGCACTCAAATGCACATTTTTATCAGCAGTATGAATTCTGCTCTAAAGCACTGGTCCGGGTAACAGCAATGCTCTCTGGAGGACAGTACTGATTCTAACAGACTACTTAAGAATTGCCTCATCTTGGTTTAGGTAATGCAATGATGTCACGTTCTGTCAAGCAGAATACACAATTCCCTGTAGAGGATGATCTCATGCTGTTACAGACGGTGGGAGAGGGAGGGGGAATCAGGACAATGCATTAAGAATTTAATTAAAAAATTTTATTCTGCTCCTTGATATTCTTTTCTCCAAAAGCTTAGGTAAGATGAACTTTCAACTGTAAGGGAACTTAAAAAACAAGCAGCTGAAATGAGCAACAGTATTTTTCCAGTCTAGCAGAATATGTTCTGTAGGTTTTAGGAAGCTTTTAGAGTATTTATCGGGGCGGGGGTGGTGGGGAGGAGTTTTTTAAAAACCCTGTGAAACAGAGATAGCAAATATAAAGATGATGCTACATGACCTTTACAAGTACTAAATAGTAAAAAATAAAGTGGTTCAAAAAGGTCCAAAACTATGCTCAGCAAGCTACCAAAAATGACCAAAGTCTCTCTGTATAGCAAGAAAAGCAAAAATATATTTTGCCATGTACAAATGCAGTTGTTCCAATGCTTTTCTTTTGATAGGAAAATAATAAATAAAACCTTGTTTTTACTCCATTCCAACCTGGATTTACTTATTCTACCTGGACCTAATGAAAATAAATTCACATCATCATATATCACCACTGCCATAAGAACCATCAGGTTTCTTTTTAAAGCAGTATTTTTTTGAATTCTAAACCAACAAGAGAAATTAATGATATAGTGATAAAAATAATACCAAAGCTTCTCAGACAGGGAAGGAAGCAAATAAGTGAATTGTCTCTAGTTACCAACTGTTATCTTGAAGTATGCAAACCACAGGAGACAACACTTGTTCAGTATATGCCAGCTGCTACAAAGCAATGATTGTAGCAGTATTAAAATCCATGTCCTAAAC